CAAGAAAAGTTGAGGTGAAGTACGTTTTTCTTATGGTTTTCAAAAAAAAAAAGGTATGTTTTTCTTATGATGTATTGTAGGTGAAGTGTGTTTTTGTTAGATTTCGGATTTCGCTTGTTTCAATTTCGGATTTGATCATTTTCAATTAGGTATGGCGCAATCTCTAGGGTTTCTTTGGTTGATCAACGGCTAGTCTCCGAATTTATTTTCAATAGTTGCCGGTTTTATATCTCTTCACAAAATTTATAACATATATTTCATATGGAAAAGAAAAGAAAAAAAAATCATTGAACTGCCTAAGTTGTTGACAGGCAGAGCAGTGCCACTATAGAAAAAAATAGAAACATTGGCTTAGGGCATCAAAAATTTTAGAAAAGCATAAGGGCATATTTTTTGTTAGATTCATTTAGTTAAACTCAAGTAATAGAATTATATAAACATAGGTTAAATGTTTAAGAATTTATGATAATTAGAAATTTAGAATCAACAAAACATGGACCAACACCATAAAAATTATAGGCTTCTAATGGTTAAGTAACTACAAAAAAGAAACAATTATTAATTGTTAAAGAGTTATATTAAATTAAACATATTACATAAAAAATTCAGTAACATGTTTTTTTCCGAGTAAATCACATGAAAAGTTGAGTGATTTAACTATTTATCCATAAAAAACAAATTTAGTTACCAACCTAATTGATATTGAAAGTTTGGTTAACAATTTTGTTGAAAAAAAGAAAATTATGTTTTATAATTAATAGTTTGTTTGGTAGTTTACTTCTTTATCGTTTTTTAATTCATATGGCGACAATATTTATTAGTGTATTATTATTTAAAAAAATTATACATTTTTTTTATCGCTTATAGCATCCGTAAACATTGGCACGGCTCAGGTATACATTTTGATTCTACTTTTGTAGCAGCCCAAATGCTAGCTGCCTTGTAATGGTCATTTTTTTCTTACATTTAGATACGTATATACAAAAAACATAAGAGATACAATGCTAGATGCATTGTAATGTTCATTTTTTTCTGATATATAAGCATAGTAATCGTGTTTCCTTTCTATATAAGAAAAATATATCAGATAAAATAGAACGAATTCATTCGTTAAGTCTTCTGAGGTCACTCTAACAGGTCAGTGAGTGTATTTCTACGAACGTATTATAACTGGTTTTGAATAATCTACAAAATATAGGGAAAAGGTCTACACTAGTAAACTTAAAAGTAAGTATTTGTTAAACTGAACATTAGGTTTACTTTAATATTTGAATCGGATATGAAGGGAAGAAGGAAATAGTAGCAACAAGAAAGAGAAGATAGGTTGGGAAAAAAGGAAGAAAAAAAGAAAAGAATTTGCATGCCTAAGTGAGTGAAATTATGTGAAAATGAAACAACGTGTGACTTCTTTTTATGTTTCTATTATGTTGTTCCTCTCCTAAATTTGAAGCATGCCGGTGAGGAAAGTAAAGTTTCTAATTATATGGACCATTTATGCCCAATTTCATATTTATATTCTCTTACTATTAAAAGATTTAACCAAAGAAAAAAAGAGGTATTGTAGTCGCTCAAATCATCATGCCTATGAAAACAATCCAAGACATTTAACTTCTTGAAACCATATATAATGTTAGTATGAGTAGCTATAGATCACCAGTGACCAGAACACTTAACTAGAAATTCCTCTGAAATTTACTTTCCTCTTGTACTCAGTTCACTACTCTTACGATTATTTTTATCTTAATCAATTATCTTTGTTCCTATAATACTTTTAAACCCATACAAAAAATAATCCAAATAAAGTGTTTAGAGCATGCCCAATGCTAAGATACTTATTAGAAGAGTATCTTATCAAATATTATATTTAATATTTTTAACATAGTTTAATTTATATAATTAAATTTAAGATATAAAAGAATTTGAACCAATAATTTAAAAACACTTGTTAAGTGAGTTTCTCAACAATTTTGTAGAGTTTCTCAAATAAGTACTCTCTTTGTTCTCTCTCTAAATTTTTCTTGTTTTTATTACTTGTTTAATATGAGAAACCCTTTAAGATACTTCCATTGGAAGTGTGTTTTCAAACATACGTTTTTGTGTGTGT